GGGACGGAAAGGTTGGGGCCGGCGCCGGAAATGGTTCCGAAGCAGATCCGGATCGTCGACGTCAGGTGTCCGATTTCCGACGTGTACGCCGGATCGGCGTTCTCCATGTCGCCGTCTCCAAGCTCTCTTCCATTGCCGTCGTTCTCGAAGAAGAAACAGGTATCCACCATCGTTGACGACTCGGCTACCAGAGATCTGAGGCGTTTGCTTCGGCTCGACGCATAAGATCTTCTCCAGACCTTGAATTTGGATCTGAAATCTACCAGATCTCCTCTCCTCCATCTCTCTCATCCCTCATCTTTCTAACGTCTCTCTCGATCTGTCCAGATCTGGACCGCCGTGATTTTTTTAAACGGTGGTAGATCTGAAAATCGAGCTATCGAGGCAAGGTAAATCAGATATATAATTATCGCATAATATTGTGTATTTACGATGATCCAAGTCTGTTAACGGGGAAGAACCTCCGTGTAATGTAAGTTTAGCTATAAATCTAGGCTGGAAGAAGAAAATTTGGGTGGGTAAGGGTTTGATTTCTGCAAATATTGGGATTGGGACATAGTTTGCGCTTTGAATGATTAATTTTCTGCTCTGTTGTGAATTTCTTGAGTCAAGGGCTTTGCTAGTTTATCTTCTGTATGATATTATGAAGTAAAAATATAATAAGAAAACAAATCTGATGAAGATTTTGTAGATCTGGAATCCGTTTCTCTCTTCTCCTCTTCCATGGATGCGATGTCCGCCATTAATGAACTTCTTGAGCTTCTATCAGTTCGGGAAAGCAATACTCGAAGACATTTCAAACAAATCAAGATTCATTCCAGAAATGACGAATGATTTTGATGATTTTTCCTGGAAATTTTGTTCATCAATTGGGAGCTTCTGCCATAATCTTGCTTTTTTTTGACACAGGAAGAAGACGGCCGGGCACATGGATGATAAGAGATGAGGGTTAGAAATTGGTAAGTGGAGAGTCGAATCACAAGAAAAGATATTTTTTCTAAGATAATAATAATAATAATATAATATAAAATAGCTGGCCGCACGATAATAATGAAAGAATTCGTACTTTAAAAAAAAATTTATAAAAAGAACTTATATATTTATAATAATTTTATATTAAAAATATCAGTAAAGTTTGGCAGGTTACTGGTTCTAAAATTTGAAATATAGGTTGAGCTCTTCTTTACCTACTGTGTAATAAGTTGTAACGTGACTTTTGAGGTAGAAATATATTTTTTTAGTATTATCATATTCGATAACGTACAAAATGTTAAAATCTTCCCTTTCCTAAAAAAATTATTTTTTTTGACCTAAATTCTAATACAATTCTTTATACCAATTCATTAATAACTCTGTAAAAAAACAAAATCATTGATAATTGTTAACGTGTCAGATAATTTACGAGGTTTAATCATCCAAAAGGATCAAATTAAAAAATTTAAGCTCTAAGCTAGTTTTGAATTGGATGAGCTAACGGTTTGTCGAGCATGCAGGGTTTTGCACTGGTGTGGTGTTCGACTAAGTTCGAAAATTATATGTATCTGGACGAGGAAAAGATTTTACAGGCACTTGGATGAGAAATGCTCGATTATTACCTTACCATCTATCTATGTCCCCAAATTCAAATCGAGCTAGGGATTCCACTTTAAAAATAGGGGAGTTTAGAGCCATTTTTCTTCAACTTTGACGTGTTTGAGTTGAGGTTCCGATACATGTTTATGTCGAAAAGGTCATGTGGCGTGGCTTGGTCTTACCCATATCGCACTCTTGACTCTGACTAGTTTTTTTATCCTCTTATCTAGCTAAGCATTTTACTTAAAAAACACACAGTTTTAAACCTATTAGAAACTCGTTCTTCATTTCACCTGACTACACTTTTTAGAATTTTTGTATTTGTATTATTTAATAATTAAAAAAACCATGCATAACTTTTTAGAAATAAAATATGATACTTTTAATTCAATATGTAAATATTATTAATCCCATGTTTCTTTTACAATTTTTTAAATGAATGGCCTCAAACCACTTAAATAAATTCAACTTAAATATATTATATTGTCTGGTCAATTTTAGTTAGGGAGTATTACCTAACCATAATAATTACAGTTGGGGAAATTTTCAACTCAAAATGGATTGGGTCAAAATATTCTATCAACTAAATTAATTCAATCTTTAGACCATTTAAAAATTTTAAGTATTTTATTACTACATAATAAATCTTTATAAAAATGTCTACAAGTATATTGGGTCTTAAAAATTTAAAATACTCTTTTTAAACTGTATTGACCACATAAAAAGATTTAAGTATGAACCAATTTAAGCATAGTGATTTTGGTACCAAATTTCGTGAGTTCCAGCCCTCACCCTATTAAGTATGAGCTTATATTTATTATTATATATAAATTTTACTTTTTTTTAATTCTAAATTGATATGTTTTAATCACACAATTGAGCAAGTATCCCAAATATTGAGCGGTTAAATTTTGTTGTACTTTTAAAACGCCCATTTTGGCCTATGCACTTTCAAATTTTGTTAATTTTAGTTCCTATACTTACAAAATGTCCATTTTGATACCCATACTTTTGAAAAGTAACAATTTTGGTTCATATGCAAAATTTTAACATAAATTTTAAACTTGAAAACCATTTAACATAACTTTAGGTTGCATTTCAAGAAATTGTACGAGTAAAGCGGGCGTGTTGTGACCGAACAAAATGAAATAAAAATGAAAATCAAAGGAACAAAATAGTCACTTTTAAAAAGTATAGGAACTAAAGCGGGCGTGTTGAAAGTACCAGAACTAAAATGAACCATAGTTAAAAGTACCCGAATCAAGATAGACATTTTAAAAATACACCAACTAAAATAAACCAAAATAAAAAGGAACAAAAAAAAAAAATAAAAATACAGAACTAAAATAGCATTTACAGCTATTTTAGCACTTAAAATGCGAGTCTTCAGATGCTTCAGCCCATATTCCATGCAATTTCATTTTTGTATATTAAATTTTCATGTATCATTTAATAGAAATCTTATAACACCCTTTTTATACTCAGATTCATGTGTGTGAGTGGTCTACATGATGCAATATAAAATTAAAAACAAATATTGAAATTAGAATATTAGGACCCTATAAGCTTTAAGGGATATTATTTAGAAGATTTATATATCCATTATAATATATTATTCGACCAAAAAAAACAGCAAAACATAGTTCTAGTAGGACTCAGATTATTTTTGTAGGAGGATGGATGCCTTTGCATTATTTTGTCGAGTTTGAGTCGTTTTTCACATTATATAATTTTGTTGCTAGATTCAAATATTTTAGAGGCCAAGTTTAAGGAATATATGGCTTCATTTGAAATGTGTTTAGGTTTAGAAATTTATTAATTTGATAAGTTATTCAAGAATCAAAATTAAGATTCAACGATAATTAAATTTGTGTCAACATGAACATATTTCAACTTATTAAGACATCTATTTCATATCAAGAATTTGTGAGTTCGAGTCTCTATTCACATGTTGTACTAAAAAAAAATATATTCAATGGTCAACGTGAGTTTAACTGACATTTATCGCTGAGTAAAATATCGTGAGCTCAAATCTTTCTTTATTTTCACATGTTGTATTAAAAAAAAAGGTCAAGATGGAACTAAATGAAATTAAAATTTTAAGAAGTTTTCTCCAAATTTTAAGCAAACCCATAAATCCCTTCTCTAATTAGGTTATTCATTATTATCTTTTTTTTAGAGTACCCACTTGGCAGATTAAATTAATCGCAAATATTTAACCCTAATTTTACTATAAAAGAATCTAGAATTCAAGAAAATTCGATTTTAATTATTCGAGATTCATCAAATTTAAATAGAAGTTAATAAATGAACAGAAAATTTCGACTTACCTCCCGCGGTTCCTTTCTGTAAAATTGCGTGACCTGAAGGAAGAAAAATGGGGAAACCGCCGGTTTCGCCGGAGAATCAGCCACCTTTTCACCGGAGCGACGCCGACGACGACGATGAGAACGTGAGGCAGCTCAACGAATGCTCATCCTTATACTTATCCTTGCAGGTTCTTCATCGCCGTCGTGATCGTCGTCTTCTTCTTTACGTTCTGCAAAAACCCTAAGCCCTGAAATGCATATATTAATGGTTAGCGTTTTGATCTCCATGATTTTGCAGGAATGTCTGATCAAAACTGATAGGAACTGGAAAGCTTGCCAGGCTGGTATGCCGCTCATCTCTAAATCACCATCGTTTCAGTGATTTATGGTTTCATCTTGTTCAATCCTTTGTTTACATTCATCTTTGAATCATGTAAAAAGTTTTGAAACAGAATTTATTATGCCATCTGCCAACATCTTTTCTGTCTCTTACCATATTGGAACTTCTGTTTCTCTGTATCTATTGAGAATTCTATTACATTTCCACATAAAAGGCCAGTTAACTGGTTCGTTTTGGCAGAAGTTCAAGCTTTGAAGTCCTGCAATGAGAGGAGGAGAAAGAGTAGCCAAGGCAAGTGAAATTCTAGAAAGGAGTAGTGTACTAGTTTATGATATCTAAGGTTTTGGCTTTATTTGATTCACAGTTTTGTTGTCTTAACGTATACTGTCTCAGAGATCTGAGAATTTGACTCATCAAACAACATTTGAAGTGAGAAAATGGATAGAAATTATAAATGATTTTCAGGGTCTCTTTGACCAATATTTGATGATAATCAGCAATAAGTTAATTTCACAACAACCAAACCACTGACATGACACTTCAATAGCCATAGATCTACCTTAAGCAACAGGAAAAAGAAGGGTATTTTCTCTGTATACAAACATCTACGATGCCAGCCAGAATTGAAGAGACAAGGTAACAAGAGTGGGGTCTGAAACTTGTTTATAATTAAGCTTTGAAGTTAACCCACCTCATTAAATTCCTCCTTCTTCTTGTCCTTTTAATGGAACAGCAGATTTTCACTTTCAATCTCCATCACCACACACTACAAACATGGATTTGCATTTGCAAGCCTTCCAGACACAGAACATCCATCCATTTTTCAATGTCTTATACCGACCCCTTCTCTCTTTGTCTATCTCTATCAACTTGGTTGGTCCATGCTAAGCTGGAAGTTGAGTATTTGTTTCTCCTGTAGGCATAAACAAATTTAAGGTCAGGAGCTAAGAGGTGGTTCTTCTAAGCAAGATTAAGTTTAATGAATCTGTTGGTCAGTATTACCTTTCAGGATCTACTGCAAGTCTCTTCTGCTAGGGTTGGATGTTACAGCAACACTAGAGTCTGAATAAACAGGCTTTTCTCCATGAAAGAACAAGAACTTTGAAGAATTACTTTAGCAGTAAAATGAGATAGAGCTGAAGAGCCCTGCCATTATCAAGGTCTTTCACTATTCAGAGCTGGAACCACGATTGCGGGGCTTCGATTTGTTGAAACGACATGCTGAGAGTTTAGTGGATCTGAAAAACCGTCTTAAAGAAAAGGTGCTCTCCAATTGAGTGCTCGAGGAATTCTTGACAATTCCTCCTCCTGATCCTACAGGCCTGGTGCTGATCTGGCTTGATCCAGCTATGGCGATGGTGCCTGACTAAGCAATTACTCAAACAAAGGGTGGAAAAATGTTCACAGGATATTTGAATTGATAGAGATGAGAAAACTAAGCATTGAGTCTCTAATTTACAAATCTAAATATAGGCTTATGGTTGATAACAGAGACGAGCAAATTTTGTCATTAATTTTTTTTCCGTCCATAGTCCTGCACTTCGCGGTGGAAAATTATACCTTCATCATATTCAAGAGCAAGAAAAATGTAGCCAAAATAATTCTTAATACTTTATAGTTCATACATTAGACAGGCCTTTGATATGAACAATAATCATCGTTATGTCATCGGTTCGATTTTCATGTTCCATCCACAGTTTGTATGACTCGGCAGCGATAGCAGTACATGCATCTTGAGGATCTGCATAACTTGATGCCTATATGGAGAAAACACATTAGAAATTTTTGTTAAGATAAGATCCCAAAGTATCACAATTTGAAGATAAAGATAGGCTGTCATTTGCAAGAGACTAGTAGTAACTCTAACAAGTGATTCATAGCTACAGAACTTTGACAGGGAAATCAAGATATCACGACCAAAACTAGAAAAGAACTCATCAAACAAAGATATGAATCAAATGATGATGATGTTAGCTAAATCATGCTAGAAATTGATCACAATACATACCATATCAACAACAGTTTGACTGGAAAGGAACTCGAAAACTCCATCGCTAGCGACGACAAAGAAAAGATGATTGGGGTTAAGCTGAAGAACTAAGACCTCGGGAACAGCGTTTACACCGATCTTCTCTGCAGTACTATCACCTATGCTCCTGGTAAATGCAGTCCCGGGATACAACCCATTTTGAACCCAGAGTCGAGGCGGGTCGCCACCCTGACTTTCTTCATCACCCCAGCACTGAATATCAGGATCCAAAAGTCCTTCCACTTGATCAACACTCAGAACTCTAGCCCCACAAAGCTTCACTCTCTCATACTCATCCTTTCTAAATGGAGTTTGATCAGTTGACAAGTCCTTGCCAAGGACACAATTCCCTTCTTTAACTGCAATTACAGCCCTTGAATCACCCACATTGGCCACATAGAGGGTATCCCCAACAACAAGGACTGTAATTGCTGTTGTTCCACTCATGGAATCATCAATCTCACTTGTATGCAACTCCTCATTTGTGGATAAAAATGCTGAATTGTAAGCTTGTACAGGATCATCTAACAATGTGGGATCATTGCACAGCTTTTCTATTAGCCTATCCTTAACAAAATTTGAACACTGCATCCCAAACTGGCCATGCCCATCAAAAACACCAAAGAAATGGGCATTTGGGTTACCTTGTATATTTCTTCTAATGCAGAAACTGTCTTGGTTTTCTTTATCAGGAGATTCTGGGTAGAAACCACGCTGAGCCAGTACCAAGTATTCCAAATGATAGTTGTGGGAAGAAACAGGAACAAACTCCAATGATCTCTCTATCAGAGTGTTTTTATCTTGCAGACAGTAAGGAATTCCTTCCCTGAAGTCTTGGGATTCTCCGACCAACGATTTTGGGTAGCGACAGCAACACTTTGTATGGATACAACCCATGTTTTCCAAGTGGAAGAAACAGAAAGAAAACTAAAAAACTAAAGAGTTCGAACTTACCCACAAGGTGTTCGATGAAAGTCCTCAAAGAACAAGCAACATAAATTCAAATTGAACCATGAAAAACTCTACTCCTTGAGCAAAACCCGGATGCTTCTGACATTATCTAACCAAACACCATTGTTTTTCCGGGAGGAAAGCCCATATTTTCAGAAGAAAAAGTTGAGACGCAAAGAACAGAGCCTGAAACAGAATGAACAGCAAAACCTATGAAGTAAGCAGCCTGAAAAGGATTGTACCCTTTTTTTCTTTTCCTTCAAAGTAAAATTCTCCCCGACGCAAAAGAGGGAGGGAAAATCAAGAACTAAATCTAACAAAAAAAAAAAAAATAAACAGTAAGTTTTTTATCACATACAAAACAACAGAGTGAAAGGTGGAAAGATGAAATGGATTTCGGAAAGAGTTTTTTGCTTTTGAACAAAGATCACGGCTCGAGGCGAGAGCAAAAGCGAAGTAATCGAGAAAAAAAAATTAACCCTAAGAACAAAATTTGTAGTACAAACAGTTGATTGAATGTGGGGTTTTGATGCTAACGAAAATCCACTCTACGCTTTCAGAATCAGAGAGAGAAAGAGCATAGGAAAGGTACGAGATTGGACAGCGAAGTGACGCCCAAAACAGTAAGAAAAAAATTTAGTCCGCAAAAATGAAAATCTTCAAAGTTTGAAACGCAGCAATTTTTCTTTTTCTGGTAATGGAAAAATAAACTGGGCTTTGAAAAATATTTTTTTGAAAAGGTTAATTGTAAAATGGCTTCCTCTGAAGTTGAACTCTGGTCCTGGTATGCGAACACTTCTATTTGTTTCTTAATTATCACTAACAATCAAATGCTTCTTTATTCATTTAAATATTCTTTTACGAATTTGTTATTTTTATAACCTTTCTAGAAATATCTATCGGCATCGACATTTTATCGATATTTCTATAATATATATATATTTTTAAGTACAACATGTGGTGGTGAGGATTAGAACTCACGACCTTTAGATCGAAGATAGATGTCTTAAGCAGTTGAATTATGCTCAAGTTCACTGGGTATCTTTAATATATACGTGAAATGTTCAATTTGATGACTAAGATTGCCAACGTAACATAGGAGGATTATAATAAGGTCAAAGTTAGAATCTCCACCTCATATGTTTTGAACTAGACAAAAAATTGGGGATTAAAATTACACATTTTGTCCCGGTCACAAAATGTGATCATTTGGACCTGACATGAATATAATCAAAAGGTTATATTGCATTTTTTTAGTCAACACGGAAGGTGGGGATTTGAATTCAGAACCTTTTGGTTAAAGATAGATACCTTAACTATTGAGTTGTGCTCGGTTTTGAATCAAATTGTATTTCTAGGATGGACTAAAAGTTTGGTAGATAATATGTAAAAATTTATTGTACTAATTATTACATGATGAGATTTTGCATGTCACATTTAATGTTGATAAATCTAACATTATCCTAATTGGAATAAAAGTGGATAATTTAAACCAAATGTTAATCATGGAGGAGAAATAGGAAGAGAGTAATATCCATGTGGGGTTAGATTGAGGCTTTTTTTTTTTCTAAGCCACAAACATTTAGACATATCTATTTGAAAATGCATAATAAAATCCCACAAAGATTCTGATCAATGTTTGCCTTTTTAGATCTCTTTTTATCTGAATCTTAATCTTTATTTGCCCTTTTTGAATTAAAGGTTGATGATTAAAGGGCTCTTAAATCTTATTTTTCTACCTCAATCATTGTGTGCCTCAGTTCACATGATCCACTGCAACTATTTTCATCAATTCTCATGGTATATTTCCAACCAATTTGATATGAATATCCAAACTAATGTAAATTGCATTTGTTCAAGGTACATTTCGTCCGAGAAACTTAATGAATCTAAAAATTCAGATTCATTATCACTTTTCATGCATCATGTATTATTTATATTCATGCATTTTCATTTAATAAGGTTCATGTATGGATTTGAAGGGGTACGATGTTGGCTGAATCGAGACTAGTTTGGCCAAGAATCGTGTCATTTTTAATGTCATTTCAATTACTATAAAAAAGGATGCAAGTTTTGTTTTTGAAACACAACATTTTGATGAATGAAATCTCGTATTGATTGTAGTCTCTTTCATGCTTTATGCTTTCTTTGTATCATAATGCATGTTTTAGAACTTTTAACATAGTTTGATCAATTAGGTTGTGGAGAGTTCGAAATCTTAAAGATAGGAACAAATTCTTATTTTTTCTCGATCGTTTATCATCTTTTCAAGTAGAATCTATTTAACTTTTTCGAGGTTTGTTTATCATCTAGTTATTGGGTTATTCTTATTGTAGAGGTTTCCTTAGCCAATGGAATTCCTAGCATAATTGAGGTAGAAACCTAAAATATAAAATTAGACTTAAAAGCCTAAAATATAATATGCATGTGACTCCAAACAAAAATCAAAGAAGAATTCAACAATTTTCTCTGGGATTAGACTTTTTATATCATCAACTCGAACATAGCTCAATAGTTAAAGCTTATAGATCGAATGTCCAAATCTCTACTCTTTCCTATATATTGTTTTTTTTTTTTTATAAAACGCTTCTATATTAATTATAGAACTACAATAGTAAAGTTTGGGGATTATATATTGGTTAGTTAACGTTTGAAACTTAAAAGGAAAAGTTGGGCCAGGCCCATCCCCCTCTGCAAGTTTGGAAGCCCAACACTGTCTTTTGGTAGACCTTTTAGGCCCATTATGGATTTCATGGGCCCAAGGGCCGGTGATAGCTCCAAACAAATAGGCCTCAGCCTAGCCCAGCCCTAATAAAACGTGCACAATCTTTAAAAGACAAAAAAACAAAACAAACGCCCACAAGACGTTCGACAAAATGCCTGAAAGAAGACTTTCTTTACTTTCCTTTTTCTCAGTATAGATGATTTGAGGAACTATTTTGAAGTCTATGGATCTTAAGAGATTTTTGAAAAGGGGAGTGGATAAGCCTGTGGCGGCTGCTGCTGCTGATGGCCTTATAAGTTGCGCCACAAAAACAAAAAGCCTGCGCCTATAAGAATCTGATGATGTCCAAAAAGAATAAGGACAAAATGAAAGTTAAAATGGCAATTCCTTCACTTTCATCAGGCTCCAATTTCTGAGCCTTCAAATATCTCCCACTTCAACTGCGCTTTGATTCCTCTCTCTCTCTCAAATAAAGGGTATATAAGTGGGTTGGTTTTTGGCCAAACCCGTCGGACGAACTTTCGTTCATTGTCCAAGACTATATCTACCGACACCTGTGTGAGTTTGAGGCGTGTCTCATTTGTCCTAAATCTATCGAAATGACTTTTGAAGGACAAAATCTGACCACCAATTAAACCGTGGTAAAGTTAGAAAGTTTATTAGCTAGTCGTGCAGTTTTACCTTCTAATTAAAACAATCCCAACGAAGTTAAATCGACTATTCCTCTAACTAAACGCAATGAACAAGTATGGGTCGATTTCGTGAATCTTTTTTATTTCAACCTACACCGGTATGTTCAGATTGAAAGTTCGAATCCCGCACGGTGGGTGGGTAGATTTGAAAGGCAGGGATTGGGGAATGGAAATGGGTGGGCGACACAGAAAAAGAGACAAAAGTGGAGGACGCATTAGAGAGGGGAACAATAATGGGGCACGTGCGGAATGTGTTCGATGAAATGTCTGGCCGGGGAACCACACATACTATTCCTCCCCCCTCCATCATCATTCACTCTCCTTCCATTGGTGCCTTCCACGCCACCCTTCCTTCATCATCCAAATTTATTAAAATTCCAACAAAAAGAAAAGAAAAGAAAAGAAAACCATGCATGCAAATCCATTCAAATTTCAAAGCCTATATAAAATAATCTTTTATTTATTGTAATCTCTATCAAATAAACTTGCTAGCAAATATAGAGAGAGAATTACAAGAAGAAGAGGAGGAGCGGGAAGGGAGGGAACTAAATGTAGCAAGATCAAGTCGTGTTAGAGGAGAATAGTTGTGGTGCGCGTAAACTGACCCGAAAATTGAAAAAAGAGCGGAAAAAAGGAAAAAGAAAATTACTTGATATAAGGCCGATGAAGAAGAAGAGCACTTTGAAGCCTCGTCTCTATTTCTCCACTACTACACAAAATGCTTCAAAAATCTTAGGCGTGACAAGCCTAAGTGGGGTGCATTATCATGATATTTATGATCTCTCTGTTTTTTTTTTTCTTTTCGCGCCCCCAAGCTTCTTGGTACTTCCACGTCACCATCCCTATATCTCTCTTTGAACACCCCCTCTCCCACTTTTGGATTTTTTTTCTTTTTTCTTTAAATAAAATTGAAAAGAAAAGAAAAGAAAGACAAGTCAACCCCACATTCATCACTCTCGCTAACCAATTGAATTCCTCCACATCATCAGCTTCACTCTTGCCACGTGGCCTATAA